ACAAATGAGATATGAGGACCTCATCTAAACCCATCGGGGCCCTCCGAAACACCCCTTTAGCAACCGTATCCTCTAAAGTAATATGAAGCCCTTCCATAGCTATAATGAATAAAAAAGAAGAGACGGGATCTCTTTGTCTAAGACCTCTAAAAATTTGAAACTCATCAATAAGGCTACCATTAATCAACACCGAAGATCTAGCATTAGAGCACATGCCACGAATCCAGGCTCTCCATTTCTCACCAAAATCGAGAAACCCCATAACCATATCTAAATACTCCCAGCTCACAGAATCATAAGCTTTTTCAAAATCAACTTTAAACATCATAAGCTTTTTCTTCTTCTTTTTAAACCAACTCACCAACTCATTAACCATCAACGGGCCATCGAGAATTTTGCAGAGCTTAAGGAAAGTCGACTGCTCCAACCCAATAATATCATGGAGAACAGGTGCCAACCTATTAGTTAACAATTTTACAATAATCTTAAATTGCAACCCGATAATACGAATAGGACGATAATCCTTAATACAAAGTGAATTATCGAATTTGGGAATCAAGGTAATAAATGACGAGTTACACCCCTTCGGGAAAACCGGTTTGGCAAAAAAATTCTTGCACAAAAGCAATAACATCATCTACAAAAATATCCCAAAAACATCTAAGGAAACAGAAGGTAAAACCATCCGAACCAGGGGCACGGTCTACACCAAAATCCTAAACTGCATTTTTAATCTCTTCAGTCGTGAACCTCGCCTCAATAGAAGAAGCAACCCTTGGGTCCAACGACTTGAATCTAGGGATTTGACGGTCAAGGTTAACACCAAGAAAAGGTTGAAACTTAGCTGCATAAAAATCAAAGAAATCCTTTTTAATACTAGCAGGCTCCGAAATCCACTCCCCATCAATAGTAACCCATGTAATCATCAACCGCCTTCTGCATTTTTTCAATAAAGCATGAAAAAATGCAGAGATCTCATCCCCCACCACAGCCTAAGTAGATTTAACTTTTTGAGCTACATCTAGAGATCTAACTTTTTTCTAAATTCACCAAATTTCCAAGGATTCCTCTTCTTGCACGAATGAGATCATTCCTATATTGACCATCATCAATATAGTTGTCAATCTCAACCAAACGACGCAGCAACTGAGATGAAGAAAGTTGTGCAGCCGACTTAGTCTCCGCATTCCAACACCGAATCATATCTTTAATAAATTTAAGCTTTTTTAAAAACAACAAACTTACTCCAAGTCGGAATACTAACAAACTCAGCCACAACTCCTTTAACCACTTCATCAAAACCCTCCAAAGAAATCCAGGAGTTGAAGAATTTAAAAGGAGAAGGCCCAAAGTCAACCATATTCGAATGAAGCAAAATAGGGTAATGACTCGACCATTTCCTATCCAACACCAAGACCTGAAGATGATCAAAGCAATCAGAAACCGCTTCTAAGACCAAGAATCGATCAAGCTTGCTAAGTTTAGCACCTATAGCATCAACTTTAGTAAACCGCTTTCCAACCGTAGGCACATTTATAAGACCAACATCTTCAATGAACTCATTAAAATATTGGGCAGAAGAAGAGAAAAAGATGGAACCGAACCTTTCACCGGCCTCCCTGACAACATTGAAATCACCAAAAAAAACATAGTTTCCCCTATTCCTTCTCATGAAAGCCGAGAGATACCCCCAAAGATGTTGCTTTCCCACTAAATATTGAGGAGCATAAATATTAACCATAAAACAGTTAATATTAAACGGAATCCATAAACCTCCCACAATAACCACATTACTAGTACAAGTAACACTACTTTTAGTAAACACATCCGGGTCCCACACAGAAACAATAGCACCAGATCAACCCTGAGCACTACTACTAGCAAAATTGAACCTATAATTACCCCATATGCTTCGGATCTTGAAAACATCAACTTGCGTCATTCTCGTTTCTTGCAAACCCAAAAAAGAAACTCCAAAGTGAAAACAAATCGCCTTAACCCAACTTCTTTTTAAAAAAGAACGGGTACCGCATATATTCAAAGAAAGACACTTCATTGGTCCACCTGTACCACACCAATGCTAGTTAAAAAAATTAACCCGTTCCTTGTTAGACTGTAACATCCCAAAATCAAGACCCAAATTTTTTTGCTTTAAAGTATATTACTTGTAGAAATAGTTAATGGAAAACAGCATTGAAATCCTTTCAAACATAAAGTCACAAATCACAAGTCTCAAAAACCATATTAGTAAATAGTATAATATCATAGTACAATCCTAGATTTTTCAAATGCGGAATATCATGTGTGAATGTGTGATGCGCTGCTACCCCGCCGACTCCTTCCCCTTAGATGAAGAGGTACCTGAAACCAAAACTAAAAACCGTAAACACAAATCTTAGTGAGTTCCCCCATCATACTTATACCAAATAATGCATAATTTTCGGTATCTTTCAACCGGTAACGGTTGGGCATAGCCAGGAACTGGGCTCCTCCTCGGCACCTTTCAACCGATAATCGGGAACTAACTGTTGGATTAGGTTTCTAAGTGCATAACTATTCTTGGAATGTACTTGACCCGGTTAGCATGGTCCATTTGGGTTGCATGGCATTGCAACACTTGGATAGACTAAATGAGAGAAATAACACTTAAGGTTTATTAATATATTATAAGTTCTAATATATTAATATTATTATTTAATTAATATTGATCAAGAATTAATTTAGAATTAATTAAGTGATCAAAAAGAGACTAATTAAATATATGGGATTGATTGTGTAAATCATCTATTCTTGTATAGTCGGGCTAATGATCCATGGTTTGTATGGATTGGGTTAAAACCCATAAGGTGCTCCCTGGAGAGTCCATGGAGGTTACAAACCCATGGATCATGGAATATGGAAAGCCATGACAATTAGGGTTTACATGGTGTAACCCTACTTGTGACACAACTATATAAAGACCCTATGGATGACCAAAATCGGCACTACAAATAAGTAAGAGAGCAAACCAATTTTTGGAGTGTAAGTGTACTTCTCTCAAGGTTATTCGAAGTATTTTGGTGTTGTGTGAGACATTTGAGGCATCAAAACTGTGGTGCTAGGCTCACAAGGTTCTTAAGGAATCCAAACGACAAAAGGTATGTATCTCAACTAGCTATTATGTTTAAAAGTTCACCATGCCATGCTAGTTTGGTTAATAACCTTGGAAATCAAATTTGCATGTATCTTAATAAAACATAGATCTATGGTTTATGGGGTTGCATGTACACCTTAGGAGTGCTAAAATGCTCAAAACCCTTAACTAACCTCCCCTTCGGTATCTTTCAACCGGTACACGGGGACTATTTCACCCCTACTACTGCTAACACATATCAAGCACAATAAACATATCAAGCACAATAATCATATCAGGCATAATAATCATATCTCATATCAACACTAGATCGTTATCACAAAGACAATCATGTATCCAACACTCTTACTTGTGGGTCAGCATTATGGCCGTAGACCCACTCCTACTAGGAGAAAACTCACCTCAAAGTCGAGTAGTGTCTGCACTGATATTAGTATGAAAACCAACTCTCCTCGAATCCTCAATCCCTACACAACAACTTTTCTAACTTATCAATTCATACTCGTAACTGTTACAAGGGTCAACTCAAGTCCAAGTCAAAGTCAAGGTCAAACCCTAGTCAAAGTCAACATCTGGTTGGCTCAACTCGCCGAGTTGGTCCACTAACTCACCGAGTCCCCATGTCCACCTACTGCCATAATCATGTCCTTACTCGTCGAGTCTAGCAAGAGCTCGACGATTTCACCTTCAACAACACATCTGACTATCTGCAACTAACTCGCCGAGTTCATCCTTAAACTCATCGAGTTCATCTTCATCCATATGAAGATGTTCATTCTATGACTCTCCGAGTTCATCCTTGAACTCTTCGAGTCTGTCTTCACCCACTCACCGAGTCCTATGATTTCCATGTCCATAAAAAAAACCCCTAGCAGGTTGAGTGTTCCTTCCACTCAGCCAAAAACCATTTCTAGAAGACGTTTGGGGGAAAATGCATCCCGATTCGCCAAGTCACCCAAGCGAGTCGCCAAGTCCCTCCTTGTCTAAAACTATACAGCCGATTATAATGGGTCTTAATGCACCCAAATCATAGATCCGGCCTCCTAGGGTCCCTATTACATGTAAAGCTTCAATCTTGACGTACAAGTCTGGGGGGTTTTTGGCTCAAAAATCCATAAAAGAGGTATACATGAAGCATGGGTTTCCTATGGCCATAAAGTTGGCACCTTTATGCCATGGGAACCCTCAATGGTTCCATATCTAAAGCACACATCCACTTCTACACACAAATACAAATATAACTCCATTAAAGCTTAGAAAAAGTAGAAAATAGCCCAAAATCAAGATCTAAGTATTGAATAGACAAGGTATCAGATTTATACCTCAAATAAGCTGGAAATGAGTCACAACCTCTGGATCTACTAGCTTCCGCTTGAACTTCCAAGCTTTCTTCTTCTTCTCCAACTTCAAATACACACAAAAAGGCACCAACAAGCTCAAGAACACTCAAAAGGGGGCTTAGGGTTTCTAGTTAGGGTTTCTCTGGGTTAGGAGGGATGATGGTGGCTAGGTTGAGCTAGAATAAGACATTTAAATAGGATGCAAACCATAACATTAGGGTTTCATCTAGACAACTCCTACTCGTCAAGTAGGTCACTAAACCTCTGTGTCCAAAATCGAGTCTACTCGATGAGTTGGGCCTCCAAATCATCGAGTCCTAGGGCAAAACATGAAAAGTACATGAATTTAAATATGTACCAGGAATCGGGTGTTACATAGACTCCATGTCATACCCAAAGAGACCAGCGATTTCAAAATATTGCTTCAACACATCTTATATATCATCAACAACAACTAAGACTTTGTTTTTAAGAATATTAGAAGATCCATGAGAACTAGAATATTGATCTCGTCTATAACCGAGAGGTTACGATGGTGATTCAGATGCCCCCTCCCCCTCCACATTCGCCACCAAGATAGGCGAATTACCTTGCAACTCACACCCAGCCGCCATAACTGGAGAAGGCACAATCGGATTACTTTGGTTTACAGCGGCACCTCTCGTGGCAGCAACATTTGGTGAAGAAAGCTCCTCATCCACGACTCCATTACCTTTTCTTTTATTATTGGTTTGAAAAACTCTTCACTTTCTATCAATGAACCCAGCTCCTCTAACATCGTTTATAGGTGTATTACCCATACTAAAAGAATTCTCATGCCCCTCATCAACTTTATCACCATTCTCTGCATTAATAATATCATTCACATCATCATGAAAACAAGCATCCTCTTCCTCCCCCCTGATAGGTCCGGAATATCCCACCCTATTTCTCCCTCATCCATGATATCCGGCTCCCAATTTGAGATTTCACACACCACCACCCCATATTCAATTCCTTGAGCAACCACTTTAATTGTATCATGAATCAAAGAAGGTTTCCCAGTTTTAGTACACACACATTAACCGTCAAAGGAGCGTCCCCATACTCTTCAATAAAACAAACCTCACCCCGCATAGAAGCTAACTTTTTAACCGCAACATCTTTCCAAGCACAACATGGTAACCCCAACAATTCTAACCAAATAACATGCTCTTTAACAAAAAAAACCATTAACTAGCGGTCTAAAAATTGAGAAATAATCCTTAATCACCTAAGATTTCTTAAACCGTGTAGAAGCAACCTCCGATACAAAACATATATAAACCCAATCACTTGCAACATGCTTAATTACAATTTTCAGAAAACCTTCTGTTTTCAAGAGAATACACAACTTTGGAATCGATCTAATATCTCGTATCTTACCAAACACACATGCTTTCAATGACAATGGATTATCAATCTCCTTTCCCTATAAAATGAATGCAGGAACCGAGCCTTCATTGGTTTTTAAAGCCCCCTCCCCCTTTAATACATTTGCATAAGAACTAGTTTGTGCATCAGCATGCACATTTGACTTTATCACCTGCTCAACAAATAATGTGAAGCAACCTGCCCTTTATTTCAAGACTCCCTTATTACTAGCATCTTGACTAAATCGAGCCACAAAAGCAAACAAATGGTATGATCCTATCCAAATGTCCCTAAGTTTTCGTTCTGGCAACATAGCATCTTTAACTTTAAGAAACCGAACAAATGCAAATCGCTTACCAAGTTTTGATAATTTCCGAGCAGTATAAACATCATTCACCTTCCCAACCTTATCATAAACCTCCCATGATAGCTTTACATCTTCTTATGGAGGGAAATTCGTCATAAAGAATGGCGTTGAAACACTCTCAATCGATCTTTGATTCATTGAAACTGGGTGCAAACCATACCCCTATTCATAGCTGACCATTAAGAACAACAAGAAATTCAGAAGAAAAAGAAGAGAAGAAGACGACTGTGGCATTTGATCCTGCCGGAAGCAACAT